ACAAAGAGCTGCTGTTATCCTTGTTGGGTGTGTGTTTGCCAGAAATATCAGGGCTGCTGGAACTCCAGAACTCACAAGGGCATGCTTTTGTGTAGTCTAAATTACCTTGACTATATAAGAACTCAAGTCAGAGGACATAACTTCATTATCCATTTGTAGCTAAAAGATCATAAATTTTCTCTCTTGATTTTTCCTCGAGTTTTGAGAAGCATTTCTAGTAAAATTCGAGCAAATTGTGATCACAATAATACTAACCATAAATCAGCTCTTTGAGGAAGATTGCATTTTCACTTAAATATTGTTTATATCTTAGTTATTTAACAGCTACTTTTCTAAGAGTTAAAATAATAATAATAGTAATAGCTAATAAACATTATCAGACTGAAAAGATAAAACTACAATTAGTTTGAAAAAAGTCTACTGGAAAATGTGGTTCGCTTTTCATTAGTGGTATAACTGATCACTTCTATATGTCCAGCTTAAGGGTCCAGCTCAAAATGACTGAGGTAATAAAGTTTCCATCACTCAATTTGGAAAACTGTAGCAATAAGGCAGGGGGAAAAAACTATCCCTCACTTTGTATAAGACCCAAGAAATGCAAATCAAAACAAAGGTATAAAATGTTACACTGAGCAAATTAGTAACAGTGTTTTAAAATAACATAGGCACACACAGAGATTGTTAAAGACAGTATACATTTATGTAATCCTTCAAAAAAGTAATGTAGAAATTACTGGAAATCTAGAAATTTCCTAATAAAAATAAGAGCTAACATTTACGTGTTGTTGCTTTTTATCTTAACTTTAAAGAACTAGTACTATAACCCATTTTACATATTAGTAAGCTAAAGTTCTGAGAAAATAAATTACTTGTCCAATATTGCCAATGAGTAATGGAACTAGGTTTAAATCCAAAACCTCTAATTTTAGAACCTACCCACTTACAACTACACTATACTATCTCTCAAGAAAACAACGATCCTAAGGAAGTTAAGGGGGAAAAAAGAAATAAAGTGACGTGTATAAGAAGGGGCATTATATTTTTTTATGCTGGAAAATCAAAAATAGGTTTTAAGTGAATAATGAACATCCACTGCATAAACTATTATAAATAATGGGAAGTAAACTATACAAAAAAGTTTGTGAGAAAATCAGGGTGAAATTATCTACAATATGATAAGACATTTGTAAAAAATTTATTCGTATGGCAAGATTAGGAAGGGAGCTGGAAAAAATAAAAACTATTACTGTTTTGAAGAATTTCACTACTGGTATTTAATTTTCTTTTGTTTCTGTCAGCTTTGTCAATCAAGCAATATTATTCTAAGAACCCTTACAAATATATTCTAGTTCTTATTCTTAGCATCCCAAACAATTCCTAAAGCAAATAATTTATAATTTATATTAGACTTATTCAAAATAATTACATATGTTTAATCAGTGGTGCTTTTAGAAAGCTTTAGCTTTGGGTATGAGATCTCCCTATCTTAACATCAACACTTTGCAATCACCACTTACAGTGTACTTTTGAAATCCTTAATTTAGACCATACATAGTGACTAAAATCAGCTAATTATTACTTTCACAAGTTTACAATCACTCCTCAACTCCTGTCCCCACCGGAGAATCATTAACCCAAAGGCCATATAGTACTTTACAGATCACAAGTTTCCTAATAAGAATATACTCCCTAAGTGAAAACTTATCAAAAGTAACAAAAATATCTTAGCTATAAGAGATGTTCATAATCTAAATACTTTAGAGAAGCATTAATTACGTTATGTCAAGTCTCTTTTAAGTAGGTAAATAAAGTTTATTTCCATTTTACCAAAAAGAAGAGTTTGGAAAGAGTAATTTTCCTAAATATGGCACTGTGAGCTGTGAGAATTCACTGTCCTTAGCCACACAAGGTGACATGCAGGGGTCCTCAGCCCTGAGTTTGGCCTCTATCAGCAACATAAACACACTTTTCGTGGGTAGAGTAGCTGTTCTCCAATGACATCAAACTCAAGAGCAGGGATATAGTTTAAACATCTCTAACCTCCTCTTCAAGAATCCACCATTCAGTCATCTTTTTTGTCACCTTGCTGTCTAACATCTACAGTCCAAGGGTTGTATTTAGCCCTTTTTAATCATAGAACTATTTTAATCATAGAACTCTGGAGGTCGAAGGACCCTTAAAAATAACATCGTTCAATTCCTTTATTTAACCAAGTGGGAAACAAAGTATCTCCAAAAAATGTTACGTTGTGTGGCTGGTTTGTGGCAAATCGAGGCCCGGAATTAAGAGATGCAACCTCACCATGCGCGGTGGCTCACGCCTGTAGTCCCAGCACTTCGGGAGGCTGAGGTGGGTGGATCACCTGAGGTCAGGAGTTCGAGACCAGCCTGAACATGGAGAAACCCCGTCTCTACTAAAAATACAAAATTAGCCAGGCGTGGTGTCGCATGCCTGTAATCCCAGCTACTTGGGAGCCTGAGGCAGGAGAATCGCTTGAGCCCGGGAGGCAGAGGTTGCAAGCCGCGATCTAGCCGTTGCACTCAAGCCTGCGCAACAGGAGCAAAACTCCATCTCAAAATAAATAAATAAAACATTTGGTCTTGGTATTTATCCTTTGCCACTAACATCTTTATATTATGTCATGTCAATGGGCGTATACACGTTTTCAGTATTTTCAGATACAAACTACGATAGACAAACTGCTACAGCTCTCATTCTCTACTTCATAAAGAATTCCAAAAACGGAAGAAAAACCCAACAAAATTTGCAAAAACCAACATAGGGAAACCGGTGTGCGTGGGAGAGAAGATAAAAGTTTTAAAAGTTTAAGAGTTCTTCTTTCCACTGCATACTAAGACTGTTAGCACTCTAATTGATCTTCAATCATTGTCCACATTTGGCTAAATAATCTTATGTCATCATGAGTGGGTATCAAGTTAATAGTCATCACCAGGAATATATAGTTCAGTCTTACATTCAATTCCTTTCGTCATCTATAACATAATTACATTTTAATAGACTTACGTAAGGATATACAAAAACTTTACAACAGTGGCTGCCTCTGAGGAGGAGGATGATGGCTTTCGAGTATGCAAGGGAAGAGAGAGGACTTAATTTTTACACTGTATACTCTTCACTGTTGTTTGAAATGCTTACCCTACTGACGTTACTTTTTAATGTTCATTCATTAAACATTTTCCTCTTGAAACACATACCTATATGCATGTAATTTTATTACTAAATATCTCAACTGAACATTTTAATTTTTTCTCTTGTAAATAATTTTTCAGTATCACAATTCATAAAACCTTCTAGAAATTTTCAGCAAAGAAAAGAAGCAACACAGTCACAACACTCAAAGCAGAATTCCAGGATTTAAAGTCTAAGAACATGTACACAGGAATGAGAGATTTCATTAAGGGGGATTGAGTTCAAAAACTTTTTCAGGGAAAGCTCTTCCCGGTATTTAAATGGCTAGGTTTAAAAATGGGATTTGAGCAGGGATTCCCGCCTCGAGGTGGGGGAAAAAAACATCTTACAGTGTGAAAAACAGGAATTTAAATGTGGTTTCTATCTTTTCGGCCGGGGCCAGAGGGGCGGGTGGGGAGGATAAGGACCTTGGAACCGTCACGTTCACCGGAGAAAAGGGAAAGACTGAGGAGTTTCTCCAGGACCCGCAGCCTTACTTAGAGGCAGCGGCCGTTCAGAGCAGATGAGTCGCGTTCGGGGACGTTCCTTCGACGCGTGTAACTGAGAAACCCCACGCACTGAATCTACACAGGGAATTTCCTTTTAATGGAGCTGGAAAGAGGGACGGCTGGAATGGATTTCCTTTAACGAGTCTCCCTCACCCTCCCCGGCCAGGGCGCACCTCACTCGCTGTCTGCTCGTGTCACGGTCAGCTGTCAATACAACCCTTTGTGTCTCATTCGGAATAACAGTGGTCCTAAGCCATGCACAGAAAAATGGACATGCTGGCCGGAAGACACGCACGCCCGCTCATGACGAAGTGACATTTGGTGTGAAGGAAAAAAAACCACAGACGCCGAGCGAGCGCCCAGCCACCTCTGGACGCTCTTCTGGACGCCCTCAACTTTCCCAGCCTGAGCTCCATCCATCCTCTCCCCGCCACCTCCGCGGCGCCCTACCTGCCGCCCGCCCGCCTGCCCGGCGCCCCCCACCGCCCCTGGGCTCGGGGAGACCGACTGGGCGCCCCCTCGCCGCCTTCGCTCCGGGCCCCCCACGCTGCCTGGCGCGCCCCAGCTCCCTCATCCTAAGCCCGGGCCGCCTCGCTCCCGCCACAAAGGCAGCGAGTAGAGCCCGGTGACAGGCCTTTGGCCTCTGGGCGCGGACAGTACGGCCGGGTCCCTTCGGTGGGCGACGCGAGGCGGCAGGGAGAGCGGGCGCGGCTCCCAGGCTGGCACCGGCGCTCCCTCGCCACCCGCACGCGCTCCGCTCACACCCCCGCTGCGCTTCCCATCTCTCAGGAAAAGTCCGCCGCAGCGCTTCCCCGCGCGGCCAGGGCGTCCAGCCCGCCAAAGGGCAGCCCCTGTGGGCCACAGACGAGCTCCCGCGTCCGGCTCACGACCCCTCACCTCCCGCCCGCGCCCCGGAGTCCCCGCGGCCGCTCACCTGGCCCTGGCGGGGAGCGAGGGCAAAGGACCAGGGGGTGGCCCTCGCCTCGGCCGCGCTGGTCTCCCCACCCGCAGTGCCGTTCCCTGCGCCGCGCTGCGCTCCGCTGCTCCGGCTGCCCGGCCGCCTTCGAGGTGCTAGCGCCGCCGGCGGCTGGCGTCTCTCTGGCAGGCGCGCGGGCAGCGCGCTCAGTTTCCCGGGGCGGAGCGAGGCGGAGGCCGCTGCGGCCGGAGGCGGATTCCTCAGGTGCTGCCCCTCCCGCCGGCCCCGGCCTCCGCGGCGGGGACCCCCGCGCTCCCTCCCCCCGCCCCGCCTCTTGCCTTCCTGCTGCCTCGGCGCCCGCGAGTGGCTTTTGGGGGTCCCTGGCCCTCCGTGAGGGCGGTGGGCGCGCATTTCTCTCCCACCCCTTCCAACGACGCCCTCCGCCCAGCCTGTGAAGCCCTCGGTGCGCGGTCCTCACGCCTCCATTCCCAAACCCCGCCGCACCGACTAACGCGCCGCCCCTGTGGGATGCAGAGGAGGGGGTGTGCAGGGGGTCTTCTGGGAAGGAGGGCTGCACCCCAGTGTGCTGACGCGCAAAACCAGGCGGAAAAATGATTTTCCCCGGAGCCCGCGTTCATTCAGCGTGCTCTCGCCTCTGCGCGACTGCTTTCTCTGTTTACTGGACGGCGGCTGAAGAGCCCCAAGCGTGAACTCGGCCTGGGCAGTGGTGGCTCGGAAACCCTTGGCCTTTCACAAGAAGGGGGTAGGGTGGGGGCAGGGCGCGGACCAAACCAAGGCAACCTGGGTGCTCCGAGCCCTAGCCGACTTTTGCACCTCCCGGATGAGCACGCCCTCCGGCCCGGGACCCGGCTTGTCTGGAGCCTACCGGGACCATAGCGAAGGCTCCACCCCAGGCAGTCGCGTCCAGCTGGCCCTGGGCCTTGACGGGTGCTTCGGGGCAAAGGTTCTCAAAAGATGCTGCAGCCAGATAGAAAGATTTCGCTCCCCTTTTCACAGCTGGTGGCTTTTGTTATTAGAGACGCACCTCCATTTTTAAAACTAATTGTTGCCACGGATGGGTTACTACAACTCTGGAAGTAGCAGCTCCATGCTGGATGTAGTGGAAGAATCTAGGTAAGGAAAAGCTGATGTATTTTGAGTGCCTTTGGTGCAGTACAGCCCCGGAGAGCTCCCCGCGTGCGTGGAGTGGGAGTGGGGAGACTGCCGCGGCGCTCTGGCCCGGGTGGGTTGGTATCATTGTCAAATATTAGGTACCAAAAGACGTTGTCAATTAAAGTTGATCTCGTATGATTTCCCAGTACTTTTGTTTGCTTGTCATGCATTTTTCTTTTTTTCCGAGATCTGAAATACATTTTTTTTTCCTGTCACTTTTGATCGATGCAGGGGGAATAGACTGGAAGTTTGGAATCACTGGAAAATAACTCAAAATAGCTAAGTTGTGACTAGCAAGATAAATTATTTGTTCAAGACTTGATTGTCCTCTCCCTCCTCCACTGGGAAGACATTGCTGGCTTTTTTTCCCCCAATCATTTTCCAATCATGTTTTGTACCTTATGGGGTTAAGGAACTGAAATGTTTTTGTTATTTTGCAATTGAATCCCTATTGGGCCTTTAAAAACACATAGAAACATTGTTAAGTGCCATGAGGGTGGGAAACACGGCTTTGTCGGTCGTTACTGTACCGTCACAATTCTGGGTCATGCACACAATACAGGTTTGGTAAATAAAATCCTATGTTTCTGGCCCCACGCGGTGGCTATGTCTGAATTCCCAGCGCTTTGAGAGGCTGAAGCGGGAGGAGTGCTTGAGCCCAGGAGTTCTGTAGGGAGCTGTGAACATGCCACTGCACTTTAACCTAGGTGACAGAGAGAGAGAGACCCTGACTCAAGTGTGTGTATGGAGGGGTGTGTGCTTTAAAATAACTACAACATAGAAAGGTGCAGATGAGTAGCAATAGCTTAAAAAGAATCCAAAGTCACTTAGTAAACTCATCATGAGAACTGGCCATACATGTGGAAAAGGCAGTACTGTAGAAATCTGAGATTTCAAATTCACCTGGTGAATATAAATTAAGCTCATAAGAGGTTAAAGCAGGTGAGAATCTTTTGAAAAACTCAACCCATCACAAGGTCTGTAGGGTGTGTGGGGGTTGGGCAGAAACAGAACACCTTTCAATTTAAAGATAAGGAAACTGTGAAAAATAAGCAGCTTTAAAGTAAAACCACCAGTACAGTTTTCTCTGTTTAGTTCAAGGACCATTTGTCCAGTGCCAAATAAACTAGATCCTAGAAATGTGAAAGCAAATCTGGCAGTCACTCAAGGACCTTAGTCTAATATTACAAGACTCTGGTATTCATTCTTCATCCATTCAACAGATATTATTGAGCACCTACTGTGAGTTAGATGGCATAATACACACCAGTAGTATTGGTGATTTATCAGTAAACAAGGCAAGTCCCTAACAAAGGTAAAAGTGAGAGTAATCTGGCCGGGCGTGGTGGTTCACGCCCGTAATCCCAGCAGTTTGAGAGGTCAAGGCAGGCAGATCACGAGGTCAAGAGAGCGAGACCATCCTGGCCAACATGGTGAAAGCCCGTCTCTACTAAAAATACAAAAACTAGCTCGGCGTGGTGGCACGCGCCGGTAGTCCCAGCTATTTGGGTGGCTGAGCCGAGATCACGCCATTGAACTCCAGCTTGGGCAACAGAGCGAGACTCCGTCTCAGGAAAAAAAAAAAAAGGGAAGAGGACCAAATATCACCCACTAAAATGGAGTTAATGCAGGAAGTAGGACAAAACTCTTTAAAAAATCTTGTTCGTCTTTCCGTCTCAGGTCTCCGCTGCAAGAGGAGCCGCCGCCATGTCTCCGCATCAGCAATGGAAGGTCGTGCAGAACTGTTCCAGTTTCCTGATCAAGAGGAACAAGCCAACCTACAGCGCAGAGCCCAATAACTTGAAGGCCCGCAACTACTTCCGCTACAGCAGGCTGATTCACCACAAGACTGTGGGCGTGGAGTCGGCAGCAGACGGCAAAGGTGTCGTGGTGGTCATGAAGCGGACATCCGGCCAGCGGAAGCCTGCCACCTCCTACTTGCGGACCAACAACAACAAGAATGTTCGCGCCACGCTCAGCAGCACCAGACACATGATCCGCAAGAACAAGTACTGCCCCGACCTGCGCATGGCAGCCATTCGCAGGGCCAGCGCCATCCTGCGCAGCCAGAAGACTGTGACAGTGAAGAGGAAGCGGACCCGCCCCACCGAGAGCTCCTGAGCCCCCTGTTCCCAGAGCAATAAAGAGTCAGCTGGCTTTCTTACCAAAAATAAAAATAAAATCTTGTTCATTTTTTTTTAAGTCTCGCTCTCATTGCCCAGGCTGGAGTGCAACGGAGCAATCTCGGCTCATCGCAACCTCCGCCTCCCGGATTCAAGTGATTCTCCAGGCCTCAGCCTCCCGAGTAGCTGGGATTACAGGTGCCCGCTACCACGCCCAGCTAATTTTTTTATATTTTTAGTAGAGACGGGTTTCACTATGTTGGTCAGGCTAGTCTCAAACTCCTGACCTCAGGCGATCCACCCGCCTCTGCCTCCCAAAGTGCTGGGATTACAGGCGTGAGCCACCGCGCCCGGCCTCTTGTTCATGTTCTTAGTGAAATGTAAAGAGTAACAGGCAGGTTGTGAAAATGAAGCAATCTGAAAACCAGAATGTCCTTGGGATTAAACAGAAGATGTCTATTTAAGTTGAAAAAACTATGGAAGCAGTTAATAGAAAAAATAGATACTGCTGAAAATTGAGTTAGTAAATTACAAGACCATCTCAAAGAATCCAGAGTGTAGAGCAAAAATGAAATCAAAATTGTGAGAGAAAAAATAGATTCAGGAGAGCTACTATTGATATGTTGGAAGCTTGAAAAATAAAATGGAACACATGCTATATATTATAACTACAAAACATCATTAAAAGAAAGAAAACCTAAGTCAATGGAAAGATATCCTGTTACTGGATTTAAAGACCTAACATCGTTAAGATGGCAATATCCTCCAAGTTGATCTACAGATGTAATATAATCTCTATCAAATTCCAACTGCCTGTCTTGTAGAAATTGATACGCTGATTCCATAATTCATATGGAAATGCAAGGGATCCAAAATAGCCAAAATAAACTTAGGAGAAAAGAACCAAGTCAGAGGACTACATGTCCCAATTTCAAACATGACAAAGCCATAGTAATCAACACCACAGTAATCAGACTATATATCTGACGTAAGTACAGACATATAGACAATAGAATAGAATTAAAAGTTCAGAACTAAACCCATGCATCTATGGTCAATTGATTGTCAACAAGGGTATCAAAACAATGCAATGCATTGGAAAACAATAGTCTTTTCAACAAATGGTGCTGGGACAGCTGGATATCCATGTGCGAAATAACGAATTTGACATCTACTCTAGAGCAGATACAAAAATTAACTTAAAATTGATCACGGGCTGGGCACAGTGGCTCATGCCTGTAATCCCAGCACTTTGGGAGGCCAAGGTGGGCAGATCATCTGAGGTCACGAGTTCGAGACCAGTCTAACATGGTGAAACCCGTCTCTACTAAAAAATACAAAAATTAGGCGTGGTGGCAGGTGCCTGTAATCCTAGCTACTCGGGAGGCTGAGGCAGGAGAATCACTTGAACCCAGGAGGCAGAGGTTGCAGTGAGCAGAGATCTCGCCATTGCACTCCAGCTTGGGCAACAGAGCAAGACTCTGCCTCAAATAAAAAAAAAAAAAGGGGATCACAGACCTAAATGTAAGCGCTGAAACTATAATATAAACTATCTTTACGGAGTTCTTTGACGTTGGATAAAGTTTCTTAATATGACACTAAAAGTACGAGCAACAAAAGAAAAACCTAGGTAAATTGATTCATAAAAATTAAAAACCCTTGTATATCAAAGGACAGTACCAAGAAGGTAAAAAGATAACCCATAGTATGGGAGAAAATGTTTGCAAATCATATATCTGATAAATATCCATTATGTAGACATATAAAGAACACTTGCAACTCAACAACTGAACAATCCAAATTAAAAATGGACAAAGGATCTTAATAGACATTTACCCATTGAAGATACACAAATGGCTAATAAGCATATGAAAAGGTGCTCAAGATCATTAGTCACTAGGGAAATACAAATCAAAACCACAAGAGATACCACTTCACACCATAAGAATAGTTATTATCAAAACACAAAATGAACAAACAAAATAGTTCTGGAGACAGACTGGGAGCCTTCATCAAACTGCTTGAAACTTAGAACTATCTCAGCCAAAATTCTAGTTTTTAATTAAGCTTCTTTGTAATGCATTTGATGCTACTTGCAGTTAAATAAAAGACTCAATAAAGAGGTAGAGTAAAAAAAAATGCTGGAGAGTAAAAGCCCCATGAAATCCAATTACTGATCATGTTTTTATAAAATCTAATATTAATGCTAATAGAAAAAGCAAAAATTGAAATATTAAAAATAATCTATAATTAAAATTCCAGTTTATTTCAATAAATGTGGGTGGTATGGCCCCTTGGGGAGAGAATTTTAACTCTCAAAAGTCTAATCATGTTTGGAGAAGAGAATGGGTAATAATATATACTGCCAGGCACAGTAGTTGATGCCTGTAATCCCAGCATTTTGGGAGGCTAAAGCAGGAGGATCACTTGAGCCCAGGAGTTTGAGACCAACCTGGGTAACATAGTGAGACCGTGTTTCTACAAAAAAATAAACAAATTAGTTGGGTGTGGTGGCATGATCCCGTGGTCCCATCTACTTGAGAGGGTGAGGTGAGAGAATCACTTAAGCCCAGGAAGTTGAGGCTACAGTATCCATTATGGTACCACTGCACTCGAGTCTGAGTGACAGAGATCCTGTCTTAAAAAGAGAAAAGATATATCCTTTTTTCTTTATAAGCATATCACTTATTTAAAGGACATCAGTTTTTTGTTTTCTTAAGTTTAAAGATACTGACCACAACTTCTTGCAGAACTTTCAAATGATTTGAGAAAAAAGAAATACAAAGAAACCAATACAAATGCCACAAAAGTCAGGAAGAAACAGGAAAAACAAAGCATAAGAAAGAGAAAACATAATTTAAGGTGTATGAACACATTCTCGGCATCAATAACAATAAATCAAGTGGGCTAAATTTTTCTACTGAAAGATAAAAATCTCTCTAAAAAAAGAAAATATAACTATATTCTCTTTATGAATAATATCTGAAATAAAACAACATGGTAAGATTGAAATTAAATGGATGGCCAACAAAGTTACAAGAGAGGACAAAAAGAAGCAAAGTAACAATATAAAATCAAAGTGAAATTCATGATTTAAAAGCACAGGCCAGGCACGGTGGCTCACGCCTCTAATCCCAGCACTTTGTGAGGCCGAGGCGGGCAGATCCCGAGGTCAGGAGATGGATACCAACGTGGCCAACATGGTGAAACCCCGTCTCTACTAAAATACAAAAAAATAGCCGCGAGTGGTGGCGCGGGCCTCTCTAGCCCCAGCTACTCGGGAGGCTGAGGCAGGAGAATCGCTTGAACCCGGGAGGCAGAGGTTGCAGTGAGCCAATATGGCGCCACTGCGCTCCAGCCTGGGGACAGAGCGAGACTCCGTCTCAAAAAAAAAAAGGAGGGGGGAGAAGAGGACCAAATAAGACCAAATATCACCCACTAAAATGGAGTTAATGCAGGAAGTAGGACAAATTTTTTTTTTAAATCTTGTTCGTCTTTCCGTTTCAGGTCGCCGCCGCGAGAGGAGCCGCCGCCATGTCTGCGCATCTGCAACTGATGGTCGTGCGGAACTGTTCCAGTTTCCTGATCAAGAGGAACAAGCTGAACTACAGCACCGAGCCCATTAACTTGAAGGCCCGCAACTACTTCCGCTACAGCAGGCTGATTCACCACAAGACTGTGGGCGTGGAGTCGGCAGCAGACGGCAAAGGTGTCGTGGTGGTCATGAAGCGGACATCCGGCCAGCGGAAGCCTGCCACCTCCTACTTGCGGACCAACAACAACAAGAACGTTCGCGCCACGCTCAGCAGCACCAGACACATGATCTGCAAGAACAAGTACCACCCCGACCTGCGCATGGCAGCCATCCGCAGGGCCAGCGCCATCCTGCGCAGCCAGAAGCCTGTGACAGTGAAGAGGAAGCGGACCCGCCCCACCAAGAGTTCCTGAGCCCCCTGCTCCCAAAGCAATAGTCAGCTGACTTTCACACACACACACACACACACACACGCAATAGTCAGCTGACTTTCACACACACACACACACACACACAAAACAAACAAACAAACAAACAAAACCAAGCAAGCAAGCACTGCCAGGCACAGTGGTGCATGCCTGTAAGCTCAGCTGGAGGGATCTCTTAAGAAGAGATCGAGACCAGCCTGGGCAACACAGCAAGACCAACAGGCTACCCCTGCTGCCACCTGCCCCATCTCAAGAATGAATGAATGAATGAATGAATACAAAAAATAAGCATTAAATAGGACAACAAGACCAATTTACTTTGATAAAAGGTACAATAAAAGAAATGATGAATATTGAACACTCACTACATGCCCAGCACCTAGGTGAGTGCTTTACATACATCTTCTCAAATAATCCTTACTATTCTATGGAATGAATGTGGTTAATGCTTTTTTTCATTTTGCAAATGAGGACTAGACATCAGCGAGATTAAATGATGTTCTCAGTGTCACAGTGATACAGGGACATGGAACTCAAATCCTGATATGCTAATTCTAAAGTGCAAGCCCATAGCACCAAAATATTTAAATAAATAATGGGAATAAAAGGAGAATTTATTTAAAAAATTTTAACCCATTTCTTTAAGATTTTGACAGATCACATAGACCAAAAATATGAGAGGATGTGGAAAATAAAATGCATATGTAATACATATAGATAACTTTGAACTCTAAAATGATAGTACATGCATTCTTTTCTAAAGTCCAAGAATGTTTACAAATATTGAAAAGTTCTAAACCACAAGAAAAATCTTAACAAATTCTAAAAAATGAAATTCTAGAGCCTAAGTCATAGTTTTTGACCCTAATATAAGAAAACTATAAATTATTAAAATAAATCTGCTTAATTTTTTCTATATAAAATAAATATAATCTACAATTACAGATTAGTTAGAAGTTATGAACAGTCAGAACACACTTACTAAAACCTAGAGGTTCATGACATCGGATTTGTCAATGATTTCTGAATATGACACCAAAAGCGCAGATAACAAAAACAGATAAAACAGACTACATCAAAATTTA